AAGCACGTATGGCTATATTCGAAATACATGCCTACATTACATTGATGAACTGTAGCTAGTTCTATTTCACCCTATGTTATAACTGTTGCATGATGAATTACATCCGACATAATTATCCATCATTGATCCATTGTCTACGAGCTTTTCACATATTGATCTTTGCTAAGTTACTTCTCAGTTGCCATTGTTACGGTTGCTACAAAATTGCTACTGTTATTTTTGCCACCGTTACCGTTATTTCCATACTATTTTGCTACTAGATATTTTACTGCAGATATTAAGTCTTTCAGGTGTGATTGAATTGACAACTCAGCTGCTAATACTTGAGAATATTCTGTGGCTCCCCTTGTATCGAATCAATAAATTTGGGTTTAATACTCTACCCTTAAAAACTATTGCGATCCCCTATACTTTTGGTTACCACGGTCTACCTTCACCCCCTCGCCGTCGATGAGGTACCAACTCTGGCCTCGCTCCACCACGATCCCTCGGCGGTATTCGAGGGTGCCTGCCGCCTGGAGGTCCGGCAGGTACCACACCTCCCATCTCCGGCGAGAGTTGCCATCAGAATCGCCTCGCGTGTCGCCTTGTGTGTCGCTTCCCCTATCGCCAGACGTGTTGGAACACGCCATCTTCGAATTTGTCCGAGATCTCTCAGTTACATATGTGAACTATCTATCTAAATAACCATTCCGAAGATAGGAATGCTTTTTAGCGAATATGAAATGAAATGACACGTGGTCTATCTTCTCCAGAAATCGGACGATCCAAACTTGTGGGTCGATCTGAAACATCAGTTTTTAATCGGGCGGCTCACGTTTGTTGCAGGTCGTCAGCCACAGCAGCAGACGAGGAAACGGCTGGCTCAGAGGCGGGCAGCCATGCTGCACCGGTCTCTTCTCCATTGGGCTGCAGAGGCTGCAGATAGAGCGGCGTCGGCACAGCGCCACCCAACCCAACCAGTGGACAGTAACGACCCATCCACCGGAAGGCGTCGATCAGCTGCGCGACAGACTCGTCCCATGGCGACCCGGGCTCTGCACTCGCCGAGGCTCACCAGCCCGCCGCTCACGGGCCGGCATGCGGCGGCGAGGTGCAAGTGCTCCGCCGCGCCGCTCTTCGCGAAGCGACTACCGCTCGTCGTCGCCTTCCCTCGCTCCGTTGCCTCCTGCTGCGCCGTGCAGGAGTCATCCCCCGGCACCACCGCCGCCGCCGCAACCACTGGTACTCCCACTCGATCACTCAGCTTAATTCACTATGCCATTAGGAGTGGTGTACGCAGTGATGATCATCCGCGCCGCGCTGCTCTTGTACATGAAGCTTCAGACGCTTCGGATGCTGCCTGCGTCGATGTACCTGAATTTCGCCTGTTCTGAACTTCTGATGCAGTTAGCGAGACGAAGGATGCAGACGGTGACAAGAAGGAAGCCGCCGCCGCGGAGGCGAAGCCGGCAGCCAAGCCAGCAGCGGCCAAGCCGAAGAAGGCCCCGCCGAAGCCACTGCCGGAGATGATGGAGGAAGAGATCATCCCTCCTCTGAAGACCGCGCTGGAGGCCGAGGAGGACGTGTCCCAAGTCGTGCTGACGTTCCAGAACAACACGGTGAGATCAGTGATTCATACCAACAAGCGACTGCGCCACAGTCACAGGCCCAACACACCTGTGATTTGGCATCGGTACTGCACTATTACCGTGCAAGCTATGAGTAACTAGGAACTAGTACTAGGCATGGCATTGGCTCATTGGATATTTGCATACCACAGGACAGGTGGTAGTACGTCCTGGTGGTGTGATTTTTAGCAGTTTTGGCACTTGCTTACTCACTCTCCAGCCATCACGCAATGCTAGCAATCTTCAATGCACTTTGGTGTCATTCTGATCGATCCTTTGGCTGTCGATGTAATGGTTTGCAGTTGGAAGGCTCCTTCGTGAAGGAAGACATACCCTACTACTTCTGGGCCTTCTTCCCACAGGGAGACCTCTCAGGTACAAACTAACTTTGAAACCCTTCTGTCCAATGCCGTTTCTTCCATGCAATGCAATGCAACGCTGGTTTACTTGCTGAGAATACTGTTGACAAGACAATCCTTCTTGTCTTCTTGACCTAGTTTGCTGCTCCTTTAAACTTCTGAATTTCTCAGCGCGAATTACTGTAATCAATCACTTCATAGCCCCAAAACTACATAACAAACCATTTCTACTACGTATCAACTAATCTGAATTCTCACTTGGATGTACTAACAACCGCAGGACCCAAGGGCTTTGCGATGACGTCCTACTCCATGGAGGTGAGCACCATCGAGCCGTTCCTGATCGACGAGAAGAGGATCACTCCGCAGTACGTGGTGTTCTGGGTGTACAAGAGGCTGGCCGGCCAGGGGGTCCTCCCTGTCTGGAGGGCAGAGGACCTGAGTCCTGCTCCTGCAGAGTAGTAAGTAGTAGTAACCCATGCAAGATACACAACATACAGGGTGATCATACGGGCACAAGTTACTCTGTGTATAAGATGTCCATGTCTAATTGTGAATTGAGTAAAGATGCTGCAAAAGGTTCATCTGATTCTTTTTTCTTCTGATGAAGTCCAACCTTAATGATAACTGTTGCCCCTGAGATGGTCGTCTCAACAAACTATATATTGTGAGCAAAGAAATGAGGTGTTGTTGAAATGAAAAAGAAGAAGGCAAATTGTGCTTGGCTGGACCTCCATGGGCCAGACCACCTGGTTTCTGTCGGAAGGTTCGTGACGATCATCAGCGGGTACAATCCAAAACCCATTATTTTTGCACGGCAAGGAAGCAGCCAGTCAGTAGCCAGTATTTTTTTTTGCATGGTAATACATGTCTCATTTATATCATAAGGATCATAGTACAAGCCACGTACATACCGACCTGACAATACTGAAAAGACAGCAGAACACTAGCCTTTGCACATAGGAGCACCAGCCAAGAAGTAAAATTACAAACAAGACTGAAGAATCCTCTGAGTTTGACACCAACGTCCGTCACCTGCCTCTGGCACCACCATAACAGCCATCAAAGAAGAAAATGACGAATCACCTTCACACCCGAGCTCGACGCGGCTCCATCGCTGATATGCAGCTTTGCGGACCTCCAAGGTGGCTCGCCAATAAAGGCGAAGCCATTGCCGTTGAACGAATCAGACCGGGGCAACACCCCGGACACGCCATCGAACTCCAGATCTGGCACCCCTGCCCAACTAAGACGTTGGAGGAGAAAACCATACCTGCCTACCACAAACCACGAACCCAGATCCACCATCTTCCAGATGCCGTCGATGCAGACCACAATCTGCATCCGCTCCTGGACTACCTCCCAAACTCCGCGTCGGCGCTGGAGCAAACGCCGTCGCAACGGCAGAGCCCGAGGACAAAGGTCCACCACAAGGATGCCGCCGCCGCCGCGCCATCCTTGCTTGAACAGCCTGATTTCCAAATCCACCTCAAAAGCGGATCGCCTCATTGAGGAAGGATCTGAAGATTTATTAGTCGGCGCCATCATCACCGTCGCCGAAGCCATGACGATGAACAACCCAAAACCCTAAGAAACTAATGCCTAAAAACAAACCACACGCGTGGATCCGACAACTCCCCTCACCACCGACGACCGAGGTCGTCGGCGGAGGGGAGCCGCCGGAGGACGGCGGCGGAGTAAGGTGCCCTGGCGGCAGAGGCGAGATCGCCTTTCTTTCTTCTCCTGGAAGAAAGGAAGCGAACCTCCGTGAGACACGTACCGATACGTCAAAAGTTGAAGTATCCACATACCGCACGTCGCCGATACAGTCAGTCAGTAGCCAGTAGAGCATCGCCGTTTGTCATCCGAAAGCTGTATTGTACTTGTACCTATCCCAAAGTCCTTCCAGTCGCACTCCATCCCATTATCTGGAGTCACCACATGCATATAGCCTGACTCGCCGCGTAGTGCTTGATATTTTAGTAATAGTTAGTGAAAAACAGTTTCCTTCTAACGTCCGAGGACTTAAAACTGAATATATATATGCAAGTCGAGCAATCTGAAGATCAAGAACAAGAATGATTTGAATATACCGAGTTACCGAATCCAGTGATAATAAACCTCGATCGAAAGTGATTTCGGATAGTTTGAGATGTTACCTGGGTTCATTCCATCGAAAAGAAAGCAAGAAACCGCGCACCACGATGAACCTTCCTAGGCCCGCCTCGTAAAAACCCAGTGACATGTCACGCGCACTTGTGATACACAGCTCTTATCCAAAGCGGAACACGACAACTCTATCCCCATGGTTGATTAGATGTTGCATTTGGATGATAGTTCAAAAATTAGTGTATAATATATCGAGCATTTTCTGATTAAAAGATCTAGTGTTTCTATGGACCAATCTATTTTTTTTTCTCGGTTCTCTTTTTTCTTCCTTCTGCACCACGCAGCAGCACTGACGAAGGTGGCAAACCTGAAGGAGTGAGGCATAGAAGCATACCTGGCCAAACGGGCCGGCCCGGCACGGCACGGCCCGGCCCATCGTAATCGTGCCTGGCCCGGCACGGCCCGCCAGGGCACGATTACTATACGGGCCGTGCCGTGCCGGCCCGCGTGCTGCGCCCCCAGGCCCAGGCACGGCCCAGTTAGTAAACGGGCCGGCATGTTGGCCCGTTTAGCACGGTGGGCCGCATATTTTCAGCCTGTTATTTGTCGCATTGAGCGTTTTTAGCCTATTTTTATATACTGGGCCATATATAGATGTATAAAAAAAATAAAAAAAAACGTAATCAGGCCGTGCCGTGCCGGCCCGCGTGCCCAGCCTCCAGGCCCAGGCACGGCCCAGGGCGTGCCGCGTGCCAGGCCCGGCCCGTTTAGACCGTGCCGTGCCTGGCCCAAGGCGGGCCGTGCCGCTCGTGCTCACGGGCCGGCCCGAAAAGAACGGCCCATTTGGCCAGCTATACATAGAAGTGAACCCACACGCGCGCCCCACGGTTTACAGTTAGCCACCGCATCTCTGCCAATCGCCATGCTCGCCTACCTCCTCCACGCGCCCGCCGCCGCCGCCGCGCCCAGCCCGCTCGCCCTCCGCGGGCCGCCGGCCGCCGCGTCCAAGACCCCCTTCCTCCCGCCCTCCGTCGCCCGCCCGCACAGGCGCGCCGCCGCGGCGGGCGCCTTCTCCGCCGCCGCCGTGGGCCCCATCGCGGCCTCGCTCCTCGAGGGCCCCGTGCTGCTCTGGGCCGGCCGCCTCTGTGTCTACTACGCGCTCATCCACATCGGCCTCGCGGGATCCCCGCGCAGCCCCTTCCTCTCCCACGGTAATGGCATCGCGCGCGTGCCCGCGCCGCGAATGATGCGATGATTCGCGCGGTTTGGTCCGGGAAGGGAAATGGGTTTCTGATCTCCGTGTGGCGTGTGCAGAGATTCGAGGCGAGGACGGCGCCGGGGAGAGCGACCTAGGGTTCTCCAAGTGGGCCGACAAGCTCCGTGGCGGCGCACCAGGTATCTGTGGCCTGGATTCAAATGTTATCGATAATGATCTTTTGTGCACCGCTGCTCATGCTGTGTTTAGTGGAGTGGAATGTGAATGCTGCGAGCTGCGGACTGTACAGTTTGGTATCCCGTGTAGTGGGTCTGGGCTGGATTGTGGATAAGGAAGAATATATTCTTTCTAGAATCTGTTGAGTAATGCTTTCTGCTTGGTAGTACCACGGAGCAAAGCACATGGTGATAATCAGCCTTTTTCATCTTTGGATTGGATGAGGTTTGGTCAAACTGGGACTGGTAAGGTGGAAGCATTTTGTGTGTGGGTGCTCCCAAGGGTTTTGTCATTAGGAGTTTGTGGGGAAATTTTGTTTGAGATGTAGAAAAAGGCAACGCTGCCATGCCCCATGTTGTGGATTGCTACTACCATGGAACAGATACATGTTCATCAGGGTTTGTTTGCTGGTGACATGAGAATGAGAATATTTCACCTGTTTGTGGATTGTTTGTAGTACTTAGATGGGTGGCTGTAAGGTGTATTTTGGTTGTCAAATTCAAGCTTTGACCAACAGTTGATCCTAAAACTGATTTCATTGGATTCTTATTCAGAAGTATTTTTCTTATGATTGTGGTTTTGTAACTACTTGCAAAACATCGTTAAAGAAAATTTACAGCTATAACTTGAATTTTAACAGTCAAATATGCCTTATTTATCCGGACAGAGGAGTACTGTGCAAGGAACCTCTCAAATTGGGAAGAGTTTGTGTAATCTAGATACTTTTTACTTTTACCACTTTATGAATTTTTTAAGTATCTTTTGTGTGATGTGGAGGATACTGACCATCGCTTGCTTCTTTTCTTCTTCACGGCGGACGTATCTGAATTTCAGTGCTTATATCTATGTAAAAGTACTTTTCTCAAACTGTAGTAATTTTGGTTCCAATATTTTTGCTTCTGTTTTGTGATAGAGAACAATCTAGCTATTAAAAAGATTGAAAAGTCATGAAAATGTTGCAGAACACGTGTAGTTCTGGATCATTGCCCATATGGTTTTATACATGAAGCTGATGTATGCTCTTGTTATTCAGGGGACAAAGAAGGCCAGGATAAGTGGAAGCTAGTCAGCAAATGGAAACCCACAACCAAAGGCACACTAAAGAGGATGTACCGAGTTCCTTCAAAGGAAGAAGGTCGCCGAATTCTTAAAGAAATTGCTTTGGTTCTATCTGAAGATGACAATTTTGTGGATGCTTCCACTCACAAGGTGATTTCATTCTTCAGCTAGGGCAAATACATTTCTCTAGCTGCTTTGTATCTTCGCATCTCACAAACTGAGATGTTAGGCATGTATTTTATTCTTCTAAAATCAGTGCTCTTTTAACTGATTGCCTCAACTTGCACTCAGGGTTGTCAAATCAGGAGGGAAAGCGCGCATGGAGAGAGTGTATGTTGCTACAATGTAAGAGCCTTGTTTGATGAGCTCCCTGGCCCTCACCTAGTTCTGGAGATTACACCTTTTCCTGTTGGAACCCTCACTGAGAATGACTACCGCAAGGCCGAGAGGCTTGAAATGGTGCTGAGGATGAGTGCCTCCCTTTAAACCAGAAGAGCCATTTTCCACTTCCACCTCATAACTCCTTTTTGCCCAGATTGTAAATTGTCTACCATTGGGTCTGTAAATTGATGTTGTGTCGCTAAGAACTCTCCTTTAAACCTGAGTTCTGCTCAGCATTTTGAGATATTTGAGGCCAGAACTCCTTTTTTTTTCTGACTGGCCTTCCATATTGAGGGCAGAATTTTCATTTGCCAGTAACTAATATGCAACCGATTTATTCCTAAATTTAACTCCTATTGCCAATGATTTTTTTTGTGGCAGTGTGCTGATGAGCATTGAAACCAGACGAGCATTGTCCCTCATTGACTCATGTAACATAAACTAGGACCATATAATTGATATCACTTTCAGGTTCGTTTGGAAGTTCATGTTTCAGAAGCCAAATGTGATTTGTGTTTGTGTCAAGTCACCAAATGAAATGTAAAATGTGATACAAAGTTGCATGTACTGAAATCAGGCAAACCAGGTTGCAAAGTTGATGAACTGCAACAGCATTCATCAAAGCTCGAGGCTCAACCATCTCTTAAGTACAGTACCAGATACATTCACAACAGGTAAGGAAGTATAGGCCTATGGTTTCGCAACCATGCCCAACTCCGGTCTCTGGGACTCCGGTCTCTGGGATAATCAAGGTGTGCCTTATTTGAATAAGTACACACAAAAGAAATGTGATGAAGATTTCAGTCTGCATCAGCACACCAGTGCTTTCAACTAGATGAAACTCAAAAGGACTCATAACAATGTCTTGGTCCAGCTGATATTGCAACCACATTTCCGGAACATCTTCATAAGCCAAGGATGAATTGCCACCGGCAGCGCACCAGAGGGTGCTTTGCTTTACCTCATCATGGAAGCGCGCTGGTGCATGCCGTTTGGGGCCAGCTTCCCGTTGCCATTCAGTGCACTGAAGCTAACCGTGGGACGGAAGCCAACCGAGGGGAAGCAGGTGCGCTCTTGATTAGCCAACATGCCGGTTGTTGAAAAGCTTGACATGTTGGAGGGAGCTGATGCCGAAGGTGCGAAGGCGGGGCTACTCTGAAGGAGTGTATTCTTGCCAAGGACCTTTGTACAGCTTGCACCACCTGAAGCCTGCTTCTGCTTCTGCTCCTCGAGTTGCTTTGTGTTGAGGAACCGCCCTCCTGTTCCACGAGCTCGCTTCATGGCATGGCGGTGCCGAGATTCATGAAGGTATGGCTGGATGGAAGGGGCGATGTTAGAAACAGGTACTTGCTAGGTAAAACTTATAGTTGTACGTAGATGGGTAGAAGCCTTCAGGAACTCAAATGCTAAACAAATGAACGTTGCAACTTGCAACATGGTATGCCTCTGGCAGAGGTTTTCATCAAGGTTTAGAACAAAAATGTACTCACGGGTCAGATTAGTCCTCCGAATATTACCAAGGCAGCCTAATAAATCTGTAGCTGAAATCTATGCATTGGTACAGCATTCAGCAAATGCCAGAGAAAACAGAAGCATCTCTTTACAAAAAATAGTATCAGGACCAAATAACAAATTCTTCCTTATTGTATTACCTTCCGGGCTTTCACCAGCTTATTTTGGGCCTCCAATTTAGCACGTATCTGCCTCCTCCTAAGAATTGCATGGTACTGCTTTGCATTAACAAACATTGGCTCTTCTGCTGCAGGCTCAACAGGGAGCGGCACACGAGAGTTTGTTGCAGCATTCAATTGGGGATGAACCTGGGTAAATAATACACAAATCGTTGATGCAGGACCATTAGTCTTTTTTTTTTGATAAATATGACAAGAAAAGGGGACATTTTTTAACAATCACATGAAACTATATGCCATAAATATGACCACTATCAGGTGCATTGGCAGGATCAAAATATGATTTCAGTTAATCCTATCCATTTGTTTCCATTATTTCTGAAGCGATCAATAAAGCTCAAGTCCTTCACGTGAAAACAATGAAAGATCTGTTTATGCACTTCTTTATCCTTTAAGAGGACACTTTTAGTGTGTTCTGTTGCTTCTCAACAGTAATTGAACCCAGCAATAAGGAGGTAGAAAGATTATCTTCTCGATGAGGCCAAGCCATAGCAGAACGAATAAGATTTCCAAAACTCAACAAATCGTAAACAAATTTAAAGAACTCATAATGAACCACGGAGATATAAATGGGATATGTAATCACCTTGAGCTGTAAAAGATCTTACAGGATTTGGGGAGTAAAAGGATAGAGTAAACTTACAATAGCGTGCGAGGCATATCCTGGAAAGATCCCAGCATAAGCATCAGCAGTATAAGGAATATATGCCTGTAATGAAAAAATAGCTGGTCAACTGAAGGCAGCATATGAGATACATGCACCAGGTTGCCCTTTTTTTTTAACTGAAGGCAGCATATGAGATAGAGAACAATTCCCATGATGACATGAACTTACAAATGATTGGCTACAATCAAGCATTGGTGGGGGAGCAACAGTCTCTGGGTTCCCCAAAGATAAAAGCGGCTTTACCATGTGCTGATCGGGCTTCCCATGATCATTGTCATTGTCTGAAACAAAAAGGGTGTTACTGTTAGCATGAAGATATAATCGCATCAATTCACCTCACTGTAAATGGGGCTTCGGCGATGTGAACATCATCAGAGAGAAGAGCCACTAATAAAGCAAAAGACCTGTCAGAACTTATAGTTTACAGAGATAATCTTCTCTTCATCTTTTGAGAAAACACCAATGATGAGTTTAGGCATTGGTAAGAGCATAGTAATAGGATAGGAGTGGCCGATAATTAAAATACAGGCACACATAATGCATACCTAGACTCGGAAAATAAAATTGTTACTCCCTCTGCCCAAAATATAAGACGTTTTTTTGACACTGTTACATCATAAGAGCTGAAACTGCAGAGACATTCAGATTACTAGTGTGACAATGTGGTTAAAGATAAAGCATTACCAGATTGTGATGGGGGTCTTGAGGTGTGTTGCTCATTTAGACTACTGTCACTTGTTGCAGATGCTTCTTGTTGTGACCGGCCAGACTTGGCTGATGAGGAGTCCAGGTCGTAGTTCTTATGAACTAATTTCTTCGTATGACAGCCATTCCCTGACAAGAAATCCTACGTGTGCAGAAGCCAGCTGATAAGTTTGTTATTTGTGGCGTAAAAAGCCAAAAAAACACAGGTTTGACTATAAATAGTAACTACTCACATAGTTGGAAATAGGATGGCCAGGATGATCCTCCATTTACACACAAGTGTTAGCGTTATATGACGGTATCACTTAGCTCCAAGCAACATTTTTCTGCAGGGATTTCTAATTAGCTTTAGTTGAAATGGCGCCTTATATTGCCAACATTAAATTAAACATGGTAAAAAGACAGTTGCAGCGGCAGCCCCCTATCACTTTGTTTATAATCATTAAAGAAGAATTTGATTCATGCATAATCACTTGCAGTTCATTAGGCAATCAATATTATAACCCACCAGACGAACAGATATATGTATGAACACATTTAAATAGATAATTGCCAATATCGGAGTCACAAATGTGATAAACACTCCAGAAAAAGAAACATTCCAACAAATAAGCGGCATCCTACCACAAGTATTCATGCATACAATCAAGAGCTGCCTGATCCAAGGGAGCAAGCAGGAATGTCCAGTATATCTAGAAATGGGACACATCTAGCCTAATTAGCACCATCCAAGAACCAACATAAAAAAATACACAACACACCACAGTGCCCTTTATTTCCAAATTTAGGTATAACACATACGAAAAACAATCACTTGCAGTCGTCCATTTCCAATGGAATCATCCAACATTTGAATAGATGGCGTACCTAGCTTATACTACAAGAGTAGTTCCTCTTGGAGTCAAGGAAGGCGTGTTATCTCCCATTCGGGTTCTTTCAGATTTGTGCTGAATAGTCCTACCTTCAAGAAATGACAGTTTTCTTCCCTAGCACTAGCTCTACTTCAGCATTAGATTTGCACCTACTGCATGCAGAACACCAACAGAAATCCTAGACTACTTTTAGTGGAGGATGCTGGGCCCAAAGTTCCAACCCCAGAATTCCCTTATGTGTCTGCATTTTTCCTGAAATTTACCTAATCAAACCCAACAAAGGCCTAATCAGACACTGCCCATATGAACTAGCATCTGTTTTTCTGTCACTGTCAATCAGCAGAAACCGTCACAATTCACACAGAATTTAGCTTCATGCCAACAAATCCTGCAAAAGGGGAGTCTGATTTCCATCCACTCCACTTTCCTAAAAACACCTACACGAGAGCTTGGACTTCCTACGAAACGCGAATAATACAGTGGCCAGAGTAAGCAGACCAACGCTCCCCCCAACAAGCAAGTGTACTGTCAGAAACCAAAATTATGCAACGCCAACCAAGAATCGCATAAAAAGAGCCCCAAATTTCGGAGAGGCAGGCCACGGGACCAACCCAACGGAGAAAAAAAATCACGAGGGGTATGAATCGAACCAAACCAGCCGCGGAGTGAGAGTACGGCATGCCGGAATCAAGAACCAAGAAGCCACTCCAGGAAATGGAAATAGATGAGAACGATTTTGCCAGGGCGGTGCATGCAAGAACACGATTGGGGATTTCTAGGAGGGGGGCGGGAGAGCAGTCAGGCAGTCACCTCCTCCGTATTCTCCCTTCGAGATCCTCTCCCTGTGCCTTGTCCGGTGGAATCCTTCTTAGACCGAGAAAGATTATGGGCGGAGAAGGCGAGAAGCGGAAGCGGAAGCACGAAGGATCAAGAAGAGGAGGGGACTGTCACTCTCCTCTAGCTGCCAAATATGCGACCTACCGTTTCTTTTTCTTTCTTTTCTTTCTGGGAATAAATGGCCCTCTGTCCACTAGTGTCACGTCATCAACCTTAAATAATTTTCTTATACACTACGGACGCTGACACTCAAAACATACACACATGCACTCATCTTTATAAATGCACACACGCCCATCCTAAACTATGAACATCTTGAAAAGACTAAGTCAA